TTTAATTTATTAGAACATTAATTCGATTAAATAATAGATCTTGTCATAAATATGTATCAATCATATATTAAAAGTGTTTATTTCTAAAATTGATGAGATTTAGGGCATAACACTTACACAAATGTTAAGAGAACTAGCCAACAATTGACACAAGTTTCAAAAAATCACCAAAAACCATACATATTTCTCTAGCAACCTTTAGATCTAAAGCCCCGTTTGATACTGAAATTTTTTTCCATTTTTCAACTTTTGTAGTGTTTGATAGGTAAAATTTTCCCGAGAAAATATTTTCTTACTTTCCATATTTTTCACCTTTTTGAGGAAAATAAATTCTTGATATTTTGGTGGGTAAATATTTTCGAGGTTTTGTTTTTGGGCAATTGAAAAAAATTCTAGACACAATGGTAAAAAAATTTTCACTTTTATTAACAATTTTCATACAAAACAAAGTCAAACTAATGATATTCGGTATTGTTATTTTTTTTTCCAATTGGAACAAATTCTAAACCCAATGGTAGAAAATATTATCTTTTTAATGGACAATTTCCATTAAAAACGAAGTCAAACGGACACCAAACTTTTAACATTTTCTATGAAAAATTATACAAAACGTACACCATTAATTATAATTTCCAATAAAATAATTTCTAGACAAATCAATTCCCTATAAAACATTTTTTTTCCACCCATTTTTTACCTTTGTAATCAAACGGACCCTAAGGTTTATTTCTAGATCTAAAGGAGAAATATAGATTTCCACCACCAGAAGTCGATTTTGTAACCAAGAACAACCACTAAAGATAAGATCTTACGAAAAAAAGATTTTGGATTTCAAAATTTCAAATTGAACCAAATAGAACCATGAGCATTTAACTTTTCATAGCCAAATCATAATCGAAAATCCAAAAACACCCAACAAAGACTTTAATGAATAGTAGTGGACAAATTATTCAAAATACTTAACAGAAAGGACTCGACTTTTTTACCAAGGCACCAAAGGTATCATGGAACACATGCTCAAATTATTGTACCCTTCTATATCTAACAAATGTCTCAAAATTCAAACCCTCGAACAAACTTTGTTAAAGTTACTTCCATGGACCAGAAGAACTCAACCCCAAACTAAACTGGTTCTCTTCTAGCCAAAAAAATCACCTAAACTCTTAATCTCACATAGAAATCACATAATCGTCCAACTAGAAGTTGAAGATTGAAGAGAACATGAAAAAGAAAACCCACAGAGAGTTCTAGAAGATGACTAAGAATAAAAATCAGACTCATAGAATGAATTAGAGCTTCAGTACAAAAGTCTATTTATACCCTCAATGACTGATCACAGATCAAGACCAACGATCCAGAGTAACTAGTAACATATCAATTCAAGAGGCCACGAATATAAACTAAAGTCGCACTTCTTAAACATGATTTAGTTCATTTAATAGATCTGAGTTTTGGGCCTCATCACTATGAAATTAGAGGAAATTACACATACACTTGGTTTTAAAATACCAATTTAATAACTAAGTTATCAAGTTTCATTATACAAAAATCAGGTATTTATTTAATTATTATAAATTAATATTTTATTAATAATAATAATATTACAAACTCTAATATCTCTTTCTATCTCTATTCACTCTCTCGTGCCGGTGCAACAACACTGTGAGCAAGCACGACGATCTGGCATAGCAACGACGGCCGACGGGCACCACATGAAGCAGCGCTAAGATCTGGCACAGCAATGCCGATCGTCTGTTGCACGTCAATCAGCGGAGCAACACTTTAGCGATGCTCGGATCTAACGCTGCAGCGATGAGCACTACATTGTAGCAGTGATTACAGTGTCGTTGTATGATGCTTAGATTGCTGCGAGAATGACGCGTGCTGTGATTTTTGAGGATGGTTTCTTCTTATTTCGATTTGTTGTTATGCCGGTGATTTGGGGGTGATTTTTATTAGTTCTTGATGGTGTTTTGCAAATGGGGGCGCAGGTGGTGTTGGTGGCAATGGTGGTTGTGATGGTGATGGTGATGTGGTCCTGGCGATTGTGGTTCACAAATGGTGAGAGTGGCTCGACGTTCTATTGGTGGTAGTGGTGGTGTGGTGGTCCGGTTTTTTAGTGGTGTTTGGGTGGTGGTTGTGGTGATGTTGACAGGTTTGGTGTAGTGGTAGTGGTGAAAATGTTTGCTACGATGTTTGAAACGGTGATTTTGTTGTTGGGAAGTGGTTGCGATGGTGGTGTTGTTGGCGACAATGGTGCGTTTCTGTAGTTTTGGTGGTGTTAGTGTTGACAACGGAGATGACGGTGTTGTTGTGTTGGTGGTGGTCACAAATGATTTGTTGATTGTGACTAATAAATTGTTTGGTGTGTGACCAATGAATAATAAATTGTGATCAATAAATACTGCGTGACCTACAAATTTATTAATTTGTGACCTAAAATTTGATGTTTTGTGACCATAAAATAAGTTGTGTGACTTGTAAATTTTATAATTTGTGATCAATGAACAAATTGTGACTTAAAATTTTTAATTTGTGACCGATGAACGAACTATGACTTATAAATTTTTTGAATTGTAACCTTAATATTTTTGAATTGTGGTCAAATTGTATAGCTATGTGACCTTTATATATTTATTAATAAAAATATATAATTGATTAATTAATTCATAAATAAATTTTAATAAAAACCTGATTTTTGAAATTTAAAACCTCTATCCTTAATTTTGAAATGGTCATACTTCAAAACCTGATTTATGTATTATTCCCATGACATTATTAGGCAATAGTAACTGGGCCTAGCCCACTTACATCATAGCCCATTTAGGCTGAATTTGACATCACAACTCAACAAACATGACCTTTTCAATTCTGGACTTTTTTTTATCGTAATTTTTTTATAGTAGAACATGTTTATGTCTCTCTATACTAAGTAAATTATTCTTTTTGTATTATTTCATTTATCTAAAACAAGTCTTCCACGTAAAGTCAATTTTTCTAAATAATATTGAGGACAACCGTTTAGTATTAAAAAAAGACTTATTAATTAAAGAAAGTCCAAAGAGTGATCCAATTTGAGAAAACATTAACGAAATGCACAAGAATTATGCATATGGGCAACGTGTCAGACCTTCTAATTCTGTTTCTATTTCTTTTTCAATAATTCAAAGATTCAACCGTTAACTCGGCAACTACCATAAGAGGATTTTTTTATTGCAATTAAACGTATTAATTAATTAAACAATGACTAAAGAGGCGACTTAACATTACCCGATTTACACCTTCGCTGGATATAAGTACACACGTCTCCTTATCATCTTTCATCAACTCAAATCCTATTTCGTTGCACGAAGATAAAAACTCAAAGCAATGGCAGATGCAGGAATTACTCACAATGGCTTCAATGTCTTAAGTAGGAAAAGAACAGGATCGGAGGATCAATGGCATCGAGAAGATTTCATCGCGGCCAAGAAGGCGATGAAACAGATGATATGTGAGGACCCAGCGGCGGCTCTGTCCAGTGCCCGCCACGAATTTGGCGAGCATGGCGGCGTGAACATGTCAATTGAGGCCTCCGCCACCTTCACGGTCATGGAACCAGAAACCATGCGCCGTATGTTCTCAGGAGAGCTTGGCCCCGATCGTGACTTTTTTATTTACAGTCGCCATTTTAACCCTACCGTTCTGAATCTCGGCCGTCTCATGGCTTCCCTCGAGGGTACCGAGGCGGCCTACTGCACAGCCTCCGGCATGTCCGCCATCTCCTCTGTGCTCCTCCAACTCTGCAGCTCTGGCGGACACGTGGTCGCCTCTCGTACCCTGTATGGAGGCACCCACGCTCTGTTTACACATTTTTTACCTAGGACATGCAATATAATGACGTCGTTTGTGGACATTAGGGATCACAAAATGGTTAGAGAAGCCATCACAGAAGGGAAAACTAAGGTGTTGTTCTTCGAGAGTCCATGTCGAATCCAACTCTGACGGTGGCTAACGTGCCAGAGCTGTGCAGGATAGCTCACGATAAGGGGGTTGTGGTGGTGGTGGACAACACTTTTGCGCCGATGGTGATGTCCCCGGCGAGGTTGGGTGCTGACGTTGTGGTTCACAGCATATCCAAGTACATTAGCGGTGGGGCCGACATCATTGCAGGTTAGCTCTTTTCTTTCTTTATTATTAACACTATGTTGAGAGGGTAATGATGTTTGTACCGGGGGTTGACAACCCCCTCACCGACCCCTCACGATGGTGGGGGGCCCACCTGTTTTAAAAAAAGGTGAGCCCCTACCATCGTGAGGGGCCGGTGAGGGGGGTTGTCAACCCCTGGTAATTGTAGCATCCCCCATGTTGAGACCGGAATATAATGTAGAATTCTTTATGCCGTAACATGAAATTAACATTAAACAAAAGGCCAAGCATAAAGTTGTCACCACCTTTGTATGGAAATTGTGCAGTGATATAATTATTCTCTATCCATTAAGCCCCTGTTTGATAATCATGATTTGAAAAAAAATAGAATTTTAACTGGTGATTTTTAGAAGAATGTACGGTTAAAAGTTCAGAAAAATTTTGGATTTACATTCAGGATATTTTATTGTATGAATGTTGGATTGAAAAATGAATCTATAGAAAAAAGAGTTTGAAAATAATAATTGTCAAATGACGTATAATATTGTAGTTGGATTTGTTACACAAGTGGGTCCGAAATAAGATGTAGATGTGAGGCAATATCGTGTGTATGGGATTTTTTTATTTTTATTTTGTCTTCTAGAGGATACCATACTTGAATTAAGAGGGGATACCCTTTGACATGCAGACCTTTTATTTTTATTTCTTGTGCTTGTAGAATAGCATTTTGAGAATATTATCTTAGATTACATGTGTTTGATTGATATTATTGAGAAAAAAATGTATTTTAAATACTGATATGACGAGAAATAGGTAATTAAAAAGGAAAAGTTACTGATTTGATTAAAAATTTTATTTTATTGAAAAATTTGTAATTGAAAATGAGTTTTGAAAGAATATATTTTGAAATAATATGTACCAAACATGGGTTAACTTACTCTAAAAACTCTTTTAATTAGACAAAACACTTTTAAAAAATTATTCAAATATATTTAAAAATAGCTTCTTGATCTTAGAACCTACTTTTTCAAAAGTCTTACCAAAGCCTTTTGTAATGTGTTTTCATTCTAGAGTTTGGATTACTCCTAAAGAGGACAATAGGGGGCCTGCTTGGGAGTTTGTTATCATCGGTTTTGATCGATTTTAGGTAGCACCATTTATGATAGGTTGGAAAAATCGATGTTTTCTAATCTTTTTGGGTATCAATTTTGGATGATTTAAAAATCACCTGATCGGCTCTCAAATCATCAAATCGACGGATTAAAATACTACTAATAAGATTAGAAATTACTTACAAAATATAAAAGTTACTTATAAGTAAAAAATTAACTTATGTGTAAAAATTATTTAAAAGCTCAAAATTTACTTATAATTTTAAAGTTTACTTATAAGTAAAAAAATACAAACTTAAAATTTAAAATAAACATATAACTTTTTAATTTAAATATTACTATATGTAAAAATAAAATAAAATACTATAAGTAAAATTTCATTTATGAGTAAAACAACTTAAAATAAGAAATTGAAAATTGAAAATTTCACTAAGGGACATATATCTAATTTTATTCTTTTAAAATGTTTTCAGAATTCGTGGATAATAAAATTGGATTGTTTTAAAAACCACTATTAAAACTACTTTAAACTGACTGCAAATAAACAATGAAAATCGATATTTTATATATATATTAGGTGCAAGCA